ACAGCCATTATACAATGTATATGTCTAAAACTTCTATTTTTCTTATGAGTTCCAGGGAGCCGAATTAAAGAACACACCGTAAACATGTCAGATACATAACCCCTCAATTCTCTGATCCTAAAAATTTTTTTTCTGAATTTAACTTTGTCCTCTGTTCTGCCAATACCCTAACCAGGTACAAGGGACACCAGATATTTCCATGCCACAGACACTTGTCGGGAGCAGAGACCAACTATGCCAGGATGTAAACAACACCCAGCTTCTCTTGGATCTTCGCTCCCCCCCTCCCCAAAGATGAAGCCCACAAATCAGCCGAAAGCAGTCTTGAGAATTCGCTGCCCCAATTCCTTCAAACTGTAATGTCTAACCTTCTACTTTTTATTATAAAAAGGATCTGGGAATGTTATTCCTTTGGGTCTGGTCCCTTTAAGAGCTAACCACGCCCACTCCTAGCCACTTCTGACCTCCTGGCCGCCATCTTAACTCTTTCTCTTCTGTCCCCGTCTCTTGGCGTGTGCACACGTGGTGTCTCTCTCTCTCTATGTCTGTCTCCATGTCTCTCTCTCTCTTTATCTCTTCTTTAAGTAATAAATATTTAGCTTTATGTTTAGCCTTACGTCTATTTATTATGTCCTGTACGCCTTTTATCCGCCAACTCCACCCGCCAGCTCTGCCACTCACCGCATGGAACCTGTACCTATTTTGGCAGCAGCCTCTGCCTGGACTAGCCTGCCTCGGTCACCCGCCAACATATTATCCTTTTAAAGAACAAAAACTATAGTCTTCCCTCTCTAACAGTGACAAAGCTAAGAAACCAAGTGAAACCCCCACACCCTTCCTAGGTGAGTAAAGGAGGCTATGTGCTTTGTCTCACAGACGCTTTTATTTTTAATTTTTAAAACTACTTTTATATTTATTTATTTATTATATTTTTATGTGTTTGAATGTTTTGCCTGCATAAATATATGTGCACCTTGTACATGCCCATGGGTGGTTGTGAGCCACCAAATGAGAGCTGGGGACTGAACCCAGGTTTTCCTCAAAGACAGCAGATGTTCTTTAACCTTTGGGCTCTCACCAGGCCTTCACAGATGCTCTTAAAGACAGACTTTGTGTGACCTGTAATTGTTTAGCTACCAGACAGTAAATATGGAGAATCTGTGCCTAGTTAGGAGTGCTCGGCAATGGGGACAGGTTGCTCCTTAAGAAGTTTACAATTAATCGGGAAAAGACAATTAAATACAAGATTTGTGTATTTGGTGTTGCAGATCTCTACAGTTTATTTTTCTGTCCACCAGTCACTGGGAGGGTAGAATTGATGCTGTCATGTAATTCCAAGAAATAATTTATTGGCTGGCTTGGCCACATCATGTGTGTCTTGCGACTGGCCTTGCCAGGCCTACCAGCCTAATGACTGCTCTGAAAGGGAAGTGAAGTCACCGAGGCATGACTTGTGCTTCATGGGTCCATGCTGACTCAGGCTGATCACTACTTCCCCTTTGTGAAATACTGTGTTTCTTATTTTAAATGTTTGATCCCACCCCACCCTCCCGCCCCTGAGCTAACCCAGGCTCCACGTGTAAATGACCTTAGAAGTCCTTGTTAATGTTCGGTACTCATCTTTACTCTAGTTTTGTGGGTTCGGGACTTCCAGTCCCCTAGAATCTCTACCGATACTAAACCTACTTGTCTTAGCACTTTGATTGGTGACCCATGCTGTACTCAGTTTAGTTCTACTTACTGGTGCTTTTCTGTAAAGGACTCAACTTACAGATAGCGGTGGAGAAATCAGGATGGTTACTACACAGGCTTTTCTGTTCAAAGGAAGGGATGGGTTCACCTGTTCCCACCCATAAATCTGAATGGATGTGTTAATGCCTGGTAATCTTGGCTATTTATTCTGTAAAGTAAGCCCGCATCCAATCCCACAGAATTCTGAGCGCCCTCTCAGTCAATAGAATCCATCTTTACACTTCTTACCAATCCTTCCTCCAAAGCCCAGACTCCTGAACTCTGTTTATCAGTCAACAGAACTCATTATTATGGTAAAGGTCACAGGTGTTTTGCTAAAGAAACGTACTTTGCAGAGTTTTGATGTAGCCACGCCCAAAGCTTCGTCATGATAATTGTCAGGTGGAAACTGTTTTCCAAAGTTTTTATGTGTTTAAATGAGTAAGAAACATAAACCCAGGTTAGAGAGGTGGCTCAGCCATTAAGGGCCCTGGCTGCTCTTCTAGAGGACCTGGGTTCAATTCCCAGCACCCACATGACAGCTCACAATGGTCTGTATTTCCTCTTCTTGGGGATCCGACACCCTAACACAGACATATATGCAGACAAACACCATGTACATAAAATAAAAATAAAAAAATACTAAAAAAAGAAAAGAAGAGAAAAATAAACCACTTGGTCAAACTCCAAAAGCTTTTGACCCATTGATTGGTCCTATTTGTAGATAAGATACTAATTTGAATAATATTAGGGGCTAGAGAGCATAGGGCCTTGAAGCCAAAGCTCATATATCACAGATCAGGTGGTGGTATGCGGTAGAGAAGGTAGGTGTCTCTGAAGATCTGACTGTGGCCCTGATTCTCCTCTCTGGACTAAATCACAGTGTTCATTTGAGGTTCTCCATGTCTGTCTGTCTGTCTGTCTCTCTTACACACACACACACACATACACACACACACACACACAACTCCTAATTGTTTATTATTTTGTTTGCCCTGCCTTCCTGCCCCCTTCCTCCTTGCTTACACAGCCATTTGCTGAATCAGTGCAGGCCTGGGACTGTTCTCTCGTCTCCCAAATGCTGAGCTCACAGGTCTGTGCCACTGCACCTGGTTCAGTTTGTCTCTTACATTAAACAAATAGAAATAAGTAGAAGTCACCGCTCACGGTGCAGTCACGGCGCCCACCCAGGTCAACCCTCAGCAGCTGAGGGAACCAGTTCTGCTTTTGGCCTTCATCTGTTTCCAGCCCATGGCTTGCTTTTCCCAGACAGTCTCTGCTTATATTGACTGTGAGAAGATTACAGAATTCTGCTGGGAAAGTATTTTACTTTCAGAGTTTTTTTTTTTTTTCACGTATGGACTTGGGAGCTTTTAGCCACTATGTTCCAGCACCAATATGGCCCATGAAGTTCTCAAGATCTTCCAAAACCCCTTCTAAATTTTTTAAAACTTATTACATATATATATACTATATATATATTATATATATTAATAATATATTAATAATAATAATAATAATAATATATATTAACTCCCCTGTATGGCCTACAGAAGGGTGAATGCATCCACTGACTCGCCAACTGTAGTGGGAAGCCACCCTTCCTGCTCTGCTGAGGCTCTCAGGAACCTCACCTGGAAAAAGACTCCTAAAAGATAAAATGTTTCCTCTGCTCCTCAGTGAGAACACTCAGCGCCATCTCTTTTGCCCCTCTCCCGTTCTCTGGTAGGTCACTGCGAGCTGTTTGTGCCGGAGACGGGTAGATACTTTCACAGATCTTTGGTTGAATACTGGAGGTAACTAAACTGCCCTGCCTTTTCCCAGCTGTCTAGGGAACTTTAATTCCTTCTTAATGATGTGTATTTTATCTTTTGAGTGCTGGAACTTTCCACTGGAGATCTCTTGATTTAAAAAAAAAATCATTTTAGGGGGCTGGAGAGATGGTTCAGTGGCTAAGAGCATTGCTTGTTCTTCCAAAGGTCCTTAGTTCAATTCTTGGCAACCACATGGTGGCTCACAACCATCTGTAATGATGTCTGGTGCCCTCTTCTGGCCTGCAGACATAAGGACAGAATATTGTATACATAATAAATAAATAGATATTTAAAAAATCATTTTAGATCATATAAACAATACAATTAAAAGGAACGCTTTCCAACTCAATTTTTCTCTCCTGTTAAATATTGTACCCACTATCACTAACAACAGGGAATTCCTTTTGTCTACTGTCTCTAACCTTGAAGGTTCTTCAGACCTCAAAGGCACTCCTTGTATTTTTCATTAAGTTCTGTTCAAGGGTCTCAGCTTATTCTTGACTTTACCCCTCTCCTCGTTTTTGTGCATGTCTTTTCAAAGTTAAAGGTTTTGACATTACTTTCTGAGAAATGTTGGTCGCTTAGTCACATAGACGGAGGAACCACATGTCAGAGAGTGAGCAATGACAAGAGACTTATAATGTGATAGCAAATTCTAAGTAACTTGTTGGTGAGACATCTCACAATCATAGGTCCTGCTGCTGAGGTCACTGCTGACCGTGTTGTGACTCCTCTCCTTTGAGAGGCCACACCCCAGTCTAGACTCACAATTTCCCCTGCTCCTCTCACATTCATAGTGTTTCAGTGATTGCAGAGTTCCTTCAGATAAGCTCCTACACTTGTGTTGTCTTCTCACTGACATAACAGTTTTTAAAAGAAGGAATGGGCTGGCAGACCCGGAAAAGAGACGATGCTTTCAGGCATAGAGAAAGGAGAGGAAAGAGGAGGGCTGAGGAGATGGCTGGGTGAGAATTCGCAGCAAGTACACTTTTATTACAGCATTTACAAGAAATGTCCAAGACAGAGAAGTCCACAGAGATAGAAAGGCCAAAGGCAGTTTCCAGGGACCAGAGGGAGGGAGAGAGGCCACTGACTTAATGGGTATTAACTTTCTCTCAGGCTGCTGATGTTTGACACCGGGAGGTGATTGTTACCCAGCACCGTGAAGAATATGCGCTGATAGGGACTTGATTGTTACACAAACTTGCCTGTTGACTTCAAAATGGTCACATACTATGTCATGTGGATTTCACCTTTACAGAGAAAATAGGGCTCAGTGGTTAAGAGTGCTCTTACAGTGGACTATGGTGTAATCTCTGGTGCTCACATTGGGTGGCTCACAAGCACCTCTTACTCCAGCCCCAGAAAACCTCACATCCTCTTGTGGTCTCCATGGGCATTCTGGCGCACAACCCCTCCCCGCCCTACACGCATGTACACGTACGCACACGCACATAGAAGAAAACAAATCTTTTATAAAAGAAAGTAGTGTATAGAACATAGGCTTGGCTTTTCTAGGACGTCTACACCGACTGTTACTTAGATTAGCTTCACAGGCAGCTTGAGAAAAATGTTCAGGGTGAAAACTACTTCCGAAATCACATGGCACGGAGACAGAATGCGTGTAGGTCCTCAAATCCTTGCCTGCTCTTGATAGATGTCTAGATCCTACAAGTAGTTCATTTGTGTGGAAACAGCATCAAGAAGGCTTCTCTGTAAGAAAGAGTAAATGCGTATAGCTTACAACTTTGATTTTGGCACATTTCTGTGTGGTCAAAGCTAAAGGCTCCATTACCATGAAAACTGTGAATGAGATTGATTTTTGTTCTCCTCTTTTAGGATTATCTATTTTAACTTTTAAGAACTGTGCTTTATTTTTTTTTCTTTTTTGATAATAGTCAAATGGTGGTGGTATGTACTTTTAATCCCAGCACTCTGGAGGCAGAGACAGGAAGATCTCTGAGTTTGAAGCCAGCCTAGTTGACAGAGCAAGTTCCAGGACAGCTAGGGCTGTACAGAGAAACCCTGACTTGAAAAATAAAAATTCGGTAATAAATGGACATTACCTCAGTAAAGATGGAAATTTTTAATGTTTCCCATGGTTCTGTATTTAACCCTTTTTATTTATAATCTCAGACAAAATCCTCACTCTCAAATTTTGTTGCAAGTATCTAGGCATATTAGTTACTTTTCTCAACTCTGTATCAAAAATCTCTGATAAAAGGGGCCTTCAGAGACTAATGGTCCTTCGCAATGAACGCCTGCTATAAAAATGTACGGATAAAGCGGTTTACTGCGTGACTCACCGTGTCACCCTGCCGCTCCCATGATGAGATATCCCCCTTCTTCCTTTTTTTTCCTCTTAAATTTTGCTTTGTTTTCAGGGTCGGAGATGGCTGGGATTGGGAGGCATGATGTAAAATAAACAAAGAATAAATAAAAAGAAAGATTTAAAAAAACCTGGTAGAAACAGTTTAAGAGAAAAGTTTATTTTAACTTATGATATCAGAGAGACTTTTTTTCAGCTCTCATCTTTTTTTTAAAAAATATTTATTTATTTATTTATTCATTTATTATGTATACAATATTCTGTCTGTGTGTATGTCTGCAGGACAGAAGAGGGCGCCAGACCTCATTACAGATGGTTGTGAACCACCATGTGGTTGCTGGGAATTGAACTCAGGACCTTTGGAAGAGCAGGCAATGCTCTTAACCACTGAGCCATCTCTCCAGCCCCTCAGCTCTCATCTTAAAAGGAATGAGAGAGAGTTTATTTTGGAGTCATTATGAGCGACCACAACTCAGGAACAGAGATTTAGATTACCCCAAATTCCATGTTCCAATGTAGGAGCAGTTTCAAGGGGCTTTTGTAGTTTTATAGAACAAAAGAAATCATAAATCAAAGCAACTTTAAAATACATTACCGGGTACAACAGAGAGATGGGGAGCTTTTGTCTAAGCCCAAGATGCTCTCTGATGACATTCTTGGTCCTTGGATTAGTGGAAGCTGGTATTCTGCTGAGTTAACAATTTCTAAGAGGTTTTCTATTATCATGAGGTATTAGTTCATATGCAGGATGAGGCAATGAATGTCTATTTCATAACATTCAAACTGGCCCAAGATAAGTAATTAGTCTCTGAGCCTACAAAATTCTGATCTCTTCACAGTAGTGAAATTCCCAGTGGGCCCGTGGGTCTCTGTAGACTCAGGAACCTTCCAGGCGATTTGTTCATGGCCAGACACAGCTTCTTTCCAGGAACTTTTGTTCATGATTCCATCATGTCAGGGAAGTGAACGGGAGGGAGAAAATGTAGTCAAGATTCTTTCTGCCTTTGGCATAGACCAAGAGGCAGACAGCAGACCACAGGCCAAAGATGGTCTAAACCTTAAGGGCTTATTTCTAGTAGCCTACTCTAAGCCAGGCTTGTTTTATATACTCCGTCTGCTGGGGACCAAGTGTCCCAACACTTGAACCTCAGAAGAACATCTCATATTTAAACTATAACACAGGGCATGGCTTTCTTTCAGCTTCTGAGTGAGGTGTTGGGCCATGGTTCTGCTTTCATCCTTCAGTTACCAGCTTACTTCGGGCCATGTCAACTCCCTGGCATTTCAGTTAGCTGCCTGATCTTGGAGAAAAGAGGAGCCCTGTAAGGATTCCAGGACAAGCATTTCCTCCATCACTGATATTTCTCAGCATTGCCATTTCTTCTCTTGGGTTTCACATCACAGAGGAGATTTTTCTATACTTTTCTGAGCCAGACAACCAAGGTGATGTCTTCATATGAGGTCCTGAACAGGCATGTTTTATTTCCTTCTAAAGGATATATTTGAATTTATGAATTAGGGTTAAATACCCTTTAATCCAGAGGTTTTTTAACTTGTGATTCATGATCCCTTGGGGGTCCAATGACCCTTTTACAGGGGCCACATATCCAATATTCTGCCTGTCAGATATTTTCATTATGATTCATAACTATAGCAAAATTACAGTTATAAAGTAGAAACAAAAATAATTTTATGGTTGGGGAGGGCACCATAACATGGGGAACTGTACTGAAGAACCACAACAGTAAGAAGTTTGGGAATCGCTGCAGTTAAATGTATAAGGACAAAAGTCAGGACAGCAAGAAAGGCCTGCCATGGCTACAACCAGATCTCTGGGAACCCAATTCTAGTGTTTGTTTCTGAGAACCGCAATGCCGTAGATATGGAGCCTGGTTTAAGAAGACCCTCATGACAAATACTTTAGCTACTCAGAAACGTAACAAGCATGACAAAGCCTGTGTCATTTCATTCTATCGAGATGTTGAAAGTTCCTCATCTTAAGGGATCTTCTGGATGATTCACCATGATTGTTTATAGAGTTTCCAAAGAAAGATGTTGGAGATTTTCATAGAAATTTCTCGTTGTCTCTCAATCCTTAACTTCTTATTCTTTTTCTCTCTAATCATATTCATATGCGAGTTCTCAGCTATCAGGGTGAGACTACATCTCAAGAAACAAATTGATGCCATCTGGGACACTCAAAATGAACCTTAACTTCTACACATTTGCTCATGTGTGCATATGCTTTCTCCGCGTAACACATACACACACACACACCACATACACCACATATACACACCAATGATAAAACAGGTCTGATTGAATGTGACGTCATGTCCTAACACTTGGTAGATGGAAACAGCAGGAATAGTGGTTTCAGGGCAGCTTGCTCTACAGAGAAATCTTGTCTCAAAAAGCAAGACCAGGCACGGCCATGGAGGTGGCTCAGCAGGTAAAAGTGCTTGAAAGCCAGCGCAAGGGACCTGAGGTGGACGACAGAGGAGACACTGACTCTGGAAAGTTATCCTGTGACCTCCACACATGCTGCGGGATGCACACAACCCACCAGCCTCCTAAACACAGACGGAGAGAAAAGCAAAGCCAAATTAACAAACACGATGCACAAAGACCAGACCCGAACAGCAACCAAAAACTACAACAGAACCGAAACGAGAAGACAAACACAGAACTAAAATTAGCACCACCAACAAAAAGGCCTTAAGATACAAATAGGTTTTAGAGAACATTGCCATGGTATTAATCTCTGGAAGAAGTCAGTTAAGACGGTAGTAACCAGATGTGCAGAGAGCAATAAATATGTTGATGATGCAATTTAGTACACTTTTCTGGTAAAATGTCAGTTTTAACACTTCTGTTAAGTGACATTTTACCAGAAATATTTGACTTATAAATACATCCTTGAGGCCAGGGGTGAGGGCCTTGGCTTGAAGTGAACAAAGTTTGCCCCTTGTCCCTCTAGGTCCTTGTGTCTTCACTCATTCCCTGGCCTCTAGAGTCCCTCTTTCCATTGCCTTTGCAATGCAGACTAGTTAGGGTGTTAGACTTTCAGCCACAGGATTGATAACGCCCTCTGAATTAATTAAACCTTCGGATCTCCACCCACGACCTGGGGTAGAACACTGATTCTGTTCTTTTGAACAGGATACAGTAGTTTTGTCTCTAAAGGGACCTCAGAAAAGCCCAGCCACCTCGGCCTTTTCATATGGTAATTTAAGGAGTGGCAAAGCCGGTGTTTACCTTTCTAGTTTCCCCTGGGAAACCTGAGGTGGAGTAAGCAGTCTTAACTTCCAAGGCTACTGGAACACTGGTGCTGTTGGTGGCTCGAGCACTGTCCCAGACAAAGCAAAGGGGAAGTTCTGATTTGCACGGGGAGCCTTGCTACACACGCTGAGACGTGAGGCTTGTGCCTGCCCACACTCCAAAGGGAAGTGAAAGGGGGAACCCTTGCATTGTAGGGACTGGGCGTTAGCTCCATTTGCATGGCTGCCATCCTCTGACACGCGGCACAATAGGAACTGAGGTGTCCTTTGGAGGTGTTGTTAGAAAGGCATTGGAAATGTAAAGTCCTTTAAAAGGAAGTGCTAAGTGTACTTCCAACAGATATGCAGAAACTCCGGGCGGGCACCTGTCTTCCAGTTAAGCAGCTGGTTGTGTCCTTGTGGAGTGGGGATATCAACAAGTAGTAGACACAAGCAGTGAGCGGCAAGAAGACAAAGGGGAAAAGAGAGAGTGGTTACAGCCACCAGGTGGCCAGCAGGCTCTTCGGATTTTGCTCCTATGCATTAGTTTTATTTTCCCCGAGCAGTGGGAGGAGCTAACAGCTTCTGTTATAACCAGCTCCTTCTACACTTTTGCACAGCCTACCGTGTAGGCCAGTGACACAAGGCAGTGGTCTGGACTCAGACATTTAATTTTGCTCACGAAGTAACAGAGGCTAGGCTGATTGTCACATGTAAGATGACCCTAAACACATGAAATGAGGTCGTGGGAAAGCATGACTCACATGTCCACAGGAAGCCCCCAGGCCTGGAATCTTACGCTTGATCTGCACTTGACCATGAGAAGCATCGTATGAATATGAAACTGGAACTTGCATCTGGGCCTTACACGTAGGAGCGCCTTCGCTCTCATCCTCAGTTATCTGCCTGGAAATAGATTGGGATGCGTGACAGCATCTTAACCCCTCCAGTTAGCACCAGCCATAAACAAAAACATCACCCATAAACGTGCAAATATCTCACTAAGGAAGACATCCCAGCAGTGATGATGCGGGAACTGATGGGTAAGGTCATATTTATGGCCAAAGTGAGTGAGATAAACCACAGAAGTCCACCATACAGGGAGGAAGGCTTCCAGGAAACTTGGCAGTGGGTTCAGGTACAAATCTGTGAGTCAGGATCATTAAGCTGTCTTGATATTTCCAATTTTTGCATTTAGAATTGATGAACTGAAATGAAACTATTGAGTGCTCAGGTGGTGTTCAGGGGTTCTGGGTCCTCAGGAGACAGCGAGCATCACAGATTTATTATTCCAGGTCTTCGTCTAGTGTCGCCCGCTCTCTCCACAAACTGTCTGTCACTCAGGCGTTTTGCTTTGTTCCCTGTTTTATACGATATTTTCTGCTTCCATATCTTATAAATAGTTCAACCTCTTATTTAAGGTTCCAAATAAAACTTTTGGTCTTTCCAAAAAAAAACAAAAAACAAAAAAAAAACAAAACCAAACAAGCCAAAAAGGATCACAAGTCCTCTTTTCTTGTCCTTAGTTTTGTTCTCTAGTGTTCTAGATGCCAGGGGCCCGTGGTGATATAACAATATTAAATAGAAAGCTCAAAAGATAAACAATTCCAAGTGTCAAATTGACTGCTTTTTTTGAGCAAAGTGATAAAATCCAAAGACTTCTATCCTGTCCTGCCTGGGACCAGACTCTTCCCTTTGCCAGAGTAGGCATGCTGTGTGTCCCATCCACATTGCTCAACAGATAGCTTGGTTATCGGGCTAACTGAGTGGTATTGTAGTTCTTATGTTAAAAAAAAAATAAACCCTTATTTTGCTTCACACTTGCCCCAGTGTACAGGTCACGTGACCACCGACATTCACTCATCTCCCCAAAGAGGTCATAAAGTGTTTCTTTTGTGGATTTTTTTTATATTTTCTTTCTAAAATGTATTTACTTCTTATGTGTTGGGCGTTTGCTCTGCATGCATGTCTGTTTCCCTTCTGGATGCCTGGTGCCCACAGAGGTCACCAGAGGGCATTGGACCCCCTGGAGCTAGAGATATCGGTGGTTGTGAGCCACTGAATGGGTTCTGGACATCAACTCCAGCTTCTCTGGAAGAGCAACTAGTGCTCGCTCTCGCTTATGGAACCATTTCTCCAGTCCAAAATGGTTTTTTTAGATGAAAAGGAGAAAATGAAAGCCTGCAACTTAACAAAGAAATAAACTGTGTGCTGAGATTGACAGGATCCACTTTTAGGATTATGAAAAAAAAAACAAGCTTCTGCAGTTGTTGCAATTCATTGCTAGTATTGCTGTTGATCTTATACCTTGTAAGTTTATGTATTGCATCTTCCCATGCATATGCATTCAAAGACAAAAGTGCATAGATAGATGCAACCTTCAGTTTCAGGTACCCAGTCTGTGTCTTGGAACATGTTCATCATAAGTAGAAGAGACCACTGCACTATAAATACTATTTTATGTGACTTACATTCAAATAATAAATATTCTGTAGGTTTTACAGCTATATTATTTTGTAAGTTATAGGATTTCCCATCAAGTTTCACATATTCTATGTTAGTATTTTTGTTGTTACAAATAAGGGAACAGATAGCATTCTTGCACTTAATCTTTTTAATTCTGTTATTTATTTTATTTTAATTAAATTATTATTATTATTATTACTATTGGTTTTTCAAGACAGAGTTTCTCTGTGTAGCCCTGACTGCTCTGGAACTTGCTCTGTAGACCAGGCAGTCCTCAAACTCACAAAGGTTTGCCTGCCTCTGCCTCCCAAATGCTTGGATTAAAGGTGTACGCAACCATGCCTGACTTTTTTTAAATTTTTTTTACACAGGGTCTCACTTTTTATAATTGGTTGCCCTGGATTTTGCTGGCCCTGGATTTACAGAGATTTGCTTGGCTCTGAAATGTTGGAATTAAAGGCATGTGTCACTTGCTTGGCAAACTTTTAAATTATAGATTCCAATATATGTCAATGGTGAATACGATAACTTCAAAAAGTTATCTTTATTTCTTATAGGCATTCCTTTACTTTAGAAACAACAAATATCATATCTATAACACATAAAGATATGTGCTTTATTATTTTTTTAATCTGTGACCAAATATCCACAATCTTAAGGGAAGAAAGGCTGCTGTTTGCCTAGTTTTGGAGACCCAGACAGTGTGTGTCTGAACCGAGCAGCTCCCATAGGGTAGTCAGAAGCAGAGAAGGAGAGAATAACCACACTAATAGTTTCTCCGTTGTCTACTTTGGTCCCCATGCAGTACCAAGCCTACAGATTGGTACTATCAACATTTGTGGAGGGCCTTTCCATCTTTGGTTAATCTTCTCTGATTAACCAAACCCTATAGGAACACCCAGAAATGGTTTCAGGAGGCTCCTTGGCACTTCTCAGTCCAATCATGTTGACAATCAAGATCAGTTAGTGACCAAGTTGAACCATTCTTTAACGCTGTGAGGCAATGTCAGATAGCACGTATCTTGCTTGCACTGATTGATTTTGGTTTGGGGCTCTGTTTTCCTTTACGTAAGAGAATCATCCAATCAATAACAGCCCAGAAGCAGTAGTGGAAGGGACAACAGCTTATGAGCTGAAAGAGGCTTTCTTCAATAACATGCCTCATCAATACCAACTCCCAGGGAAACAAACACACAAAAAATGTTACAGTGTGACACAGATGAAAACCTCAATTTGTATCTGTGCAATCCTAGGTTTGTACAAACAGTCATCAGATGTGTGCTTACTGCATTAGCAAAAGAGTGTTACAGTGTTTCCTACCTTATAAGTAAGACACATGTAATCAATTTAGCCTTTCACTTTCCTGCTCTGGGCTTGCCCTGACTCAGAGAAACCTTAAGAGTACTCTTATATCTCATGTTTCCATGTCCCCCTTGCTCATTCAGTCTCACAGTCCCATGTACTCATGTATCCATTTAACACTGGCAAATTTTTCAGATGCTGAGACACAGCAGAGTCTAGTTTGTTTCCACTGAATTTCATAGAAAAAAAAAGACAGCACTCAAAGCAAATAAATGGGCATCTCAATGTTGATAGTGAAAATACTGGGGCTGCAGAGATGGCTCAGCAGTTAAGAGCACCGGCTGCTTTTCCAGAGGACCCAGGATCAATTTCCAGCACCCACATGGTATCTCACAACTGTCTGTGACTCCATTTCCAGGGGATCTGACATCCTCATTCCAATGCACAAAAAATAAAATCATATAAATTATAAACCAATAAAAATACTATGAGACAGTAAAGCAGTAAGATAGGACGCACTGAGTGCTGGGCAGTGGGTCGGGAGGACTGCTCTCAAAGCGAAGGCTCCTCAGTTTGATGAAGGACTGACTGCTAAGGAACGAGCACTCCTGTAAAATGGCCAGAGCGAAGCACAGGGGTTGTTGTTGTTTGCTTGGTTTTCTTTATTTCTCCATGAATTGCAAAGGACATGAACTTGGAGAAAATGCCAGAGACTAGGCATGCTGAGTGCTGTTAGTGATGCTAAGAGCCCACATCTGTTACCATTTTTTGAAAATGGAGACCACATTTGGAGGTCCTTAAATAAAGAATGAAATGATGTGATTCAGTTTTAAATGGACCAGGTTGCTGTATATCTTTTTCAAAGTCAATCTCCATTTCATTGTTAATAACTAAGTACAAGCTGTCCATTCTTCTTCCAATGCTGTTTCCCATGTTCTCTCTCTCTCTCTCTCTTACTCTCTCTCTCTCTCTCTCTCTCTCTCTCTCTCCTTTCGTCTCTATCGTCTTTTCCCTGACGATAGAAAAATTCCCTTTTCATTAGAACTCAGTGAAGCCATCATTGTTCTGGAAAGCCTTCCTGATCAGCAGAGCTGAGTGAACGCCCTCTTCCACGTACTCTGGACTGTAGTTGTTGGTTAGGTTATCTCTTTGTATTAGGTTTTCTAAAAGTCCAGAAGTAAAAGAAAACGTATGTGCGTATTAATGTATGCATGAGTGTATGCACATGAAGGGGATTTATTAGAATGGCTATGTGAGAGGAGGTTTAGGAGCTTGACTAGTCCAAAGCTGAAAGTCTGCAGCCTGGAAGCAGAGAACTCAGCTGCT